TGCTATAAAAATGTCTTATTAGGCCAAATTACTTACTATGAAAATGCTTTAAAATGCAGTAGGAGGAGATGTAAAGACTCAAAGAAGCGTGTAGTGACAATGGCTATCAGAACACACTAAAGAATCCACACTGCTTCCCCCTTTACCTAGAAAAGGAAGCTTCTAGGCTACCTCCTCCTCCTCAGCACACTCCTCAAACTCCCCCTCCTCAGCTGTGGTGTCTTGGTATTGCTGGTATTCTGACACCAGGTCATTAAGGTTGCTCTCAGCCTCAGTGAACTCCATCTCATCCATGCCCTCGCCTATGTACCAGTGCAGGAAGGCCTTGCGCCTGAACATAGCGGTAAACTGTTCAGAGACACGTTTGAAGAGCTCTTGGATGGCTGTGTTGTTACCAATGAAGGTGGCCGACATTTTTAGCCCCCGGGGTGGGATGTCACAGACGGCTGTTTTCACGTTGTGAGGGAGCCGTTCAGCAAAGTAGCAGCTGTTCTTATTTTGAATGTTGAACATGTGCTCATCCACCTCCCTCATGGACATGCGACCTCTAAAAATGGCAGCCACGGTTAGGTAGTGACCATGACGGGGGTCATAGGCGGCCATCATATTCTTAGCATCAAAGAGTTGCTGAGTGAGCTCAGCCACGGTCAGGGCCCGGTACTGCTGGCTGCCCCGGCTGGTCAGCTGGGCAAAGCTGGCCATGAAGAAGTGCAGCCGGGGAAATGGAACCATGTTCACGGCCAGCTTCCGCAGGTCGGCATTCAGCTGGCCCGGGAAGCGCAGACATGTGGTGACTCCACTCATGGTAGCAGACACTAGGTGATTCAGGTCACTGTAGGTGGGTGTGGTCAGTTTTAAGGTCCTGGAACAGATGTTATAGAGCACTTTGTTATCAATGCAGAACGTCTCATCTGCATTTTCTATGAGCTGGTAAACAGAGAGGGTGGCATTGTAGGGCTCCACCACCGTGTCTGACACCTTGGGCGAGGGCAGGATGCTGAATGTGTTTATGATCCTGTCTGGGTACTCCTCCCGAATTTTGCCCATGAGAAGTGTATGAAAAGACTCTAGCCCTACAAAGCTGGACCTACTCAGAGCCCTACAAAGTCTGTCTCTGACTTTGCCGAGCCCTCTCATCGGCAGCCCCTAAAGAGGACCTCATGTCGGATGAGGAGCAGAGAAGCTCAGAGGAGGAGGATAGTGCTTCAAGAGACCCCAGCCTCACCCACAAGGTGGAAGGACAGTCCAGAGCCCTTGTCATCGCACAGGAAGTGCTATCTTCAGAGAAAGCATACGTGGAGATGCTCCAGCACTTACTTCTGGATTTCCATGGAGCTGTCATGAGGGCCTTGGATGACATGGACCATGAAGGCAGAGACATATTGGCCCGGGAGGAGCTGAGGCAGGGCCTGAGTGAACTCCCAGCCATTTACGAACTTCACCAAGGCATCCTGGAGGAGCTGGAGGAAAGGCTGTCAAATTGGGAGAGCCAGCAGAAGGTAGCTGACGTCTTCCTGACCCGGGAGCAGGGGTTTGATCACCACGCCACTCACATCCTGCAGTTCGACAGGTACCTAGGTCTGCTCAGTGAGAATTGCCTCCACTCTCCCCTGCTGGCAGCTGCTGTCCATGAATTTGAGCAGAATGTGCAAGGAGGCGGCCAGACTGCAAAACATCGGCTGCTGCAGGTGGTTCAGCACCTCTTTCAGTACCAACTGCTCCTCACAGACTATTTAAACAACCTTTGCCCGGACTCTGCCGAGTACGACAGCACACAGGGTGCACTGAGCCTCATCTCCAAAGTCACAGACCGTGCCAACGGCAGCATGGAGCAAGGGGAAAACCTGCAGAAGCTGGTCCACATTGAGCACAGCGTCCGGGGCCAAGGGGATCTCCTCCAGCCAGGGAGTTTCTGAAGGAAGGAACGCTGATGAAAGCAACAGGGAAAAACAGACGCCCCCGGCACCTATTTCTGATGAACGATGTGCTCCTGTACACCTATCCCCAGAAGGAAGGGAAGTACCGGCTGAAGAACACATTGGCTGTGGCCAACATGAAGGTCAGCCGCCCTGTGATGGAGAAAGTGCCCTATGCTCTAAAGATCGAGACTTCTGAGTCCCGCCTGATGCTGTCTGCGAGCTCCTGTGCAGAGACGGACGAGTGGTATGGCTGTCTGAGCAGAGCTCTTCCTGAGGACTACAAGGCCCAGGCTCTGGCTGCGTTCCACCACAGCGTGGAGATACGAGAGAGCCTGGGGGTTAGCCTCGGGGAGAGGCCTCCCACCCTGGTGCCTGTCACACATGTCACGATGTGCATGAACTGCGGCTGTGACTTCTCCCTCACACTGCGGCGTCATCACTGTCATGCCTGTGGCAAGATTGTGTGCCGGAACTGTTCACAGAACAAGTACCCGCTGAAGTACCTGAAGGACAGGATGGCCAAGGTCTGTGACGGCTGCTTCGGGGAGCTGAAGAAGCGGGGCAGGGCTGTCCCAGGCCTGATGAGACAGCGGCTTGTGAGCATGAGTTTCCCACTCTCTGCACCCTGCTTCTCAGGCAGTGCCTTCTCATCCGTCTTCCACAGCATCAACCCCTCAACCTTCAAGAAGCAGAAGAAAGTCCCTTCAGCCCTGACAGAGGTGACTGCCTCTGGAGAGGGCTCTGCCATCAGCGGCTATCTCAGCCGGTGTAAGAGGGGCAAGCGGCACTGGAAGAAGCTCTGGTTTGTCATCAAAGGCAAAGTTCTCTACACCTACATGGCCAGTGAGGACAAAGTGGCCATGGAGAGTATGACTCTGCTAGGTTTCACCATTGCTCCAGAAAAGGAAGAGAGCAGCAGCGAAGTAGGACCTATTTTTCACCTTTACCACAATAAAACCCTATTTTATAGCTTCAAAGCAGAAGATACCAATTCAGCTCAGAGGTGGATTGAGGCCATGGAAGATGCGAGTGTGTTATAGCAGTTATCAAGCGTGTGGACTTGTAACAAATTCTTAGGTCAATATGTGAATGCTTCTAGAAGCTAAGCTGTGGCTCAACTCATCCGGACACACACCTGGGTTCAGCAATGAGGCCTGACCTTTTTTGCTATAACCTCCCCACCACTCCCCTGCCCGCGCCAACATCTTCATGAGTGGTGCCCTTAAAGGATATTTATGGACCTCTCCTTTTCTGTGTTTTCTGCCCCCCACCCCTACCCCCACCCCCACCCCCACCCGTCACCCGGTAGTAAACTATCTCCTTACCCTGCAGTGAGTTAAAATTTAGTAAGATGAAGACATGGAAGCCAATCTAAAAGTACATTTAGAAATGCAGGCTTTTTAGTAGAAAGAAGCTCTTACAGTTTTTACTTATGATAAATCTTATCACCTTTCAAAAATTGATTGTAGTGCCTCAAGTGAAATGAGAAGCTATCAGCAACAGCTATCTCATTGAAAGCACTTTATTTTACTGAGCTGCAACCTCCAATTTTGTGTTTTCTAAGTGATTTACTTAAGTCAGTAACAGATGGAATCCTGTGGACTAACATGCCACCAGTCTTCTAACGAGGGTGTACATAAAATTGATTTGTGCAGCCGGGCGCGGTGGCTCAAGCCTGTAATCCCAGCACTTTGGGAGGCNACAAAGTTTTGCTCACTCTTAGAAAGGGACACAAGACAGGAAACATTCCTCCCTTTTTTGCCTCCCCCTTCAATGCTATTTTGTAAGAATGTAACGCCTGGAGCCATCTTGTGATCATGAAGCACAAACGTGACAAAACCCACCATACTGATCATAGGAAAACAGTAAGAGAAAAATCACGTTAAGTCCTTGATAATGTACCACTAAATTAGGCAACTCTGGTATCATCTACATCTAGACATATATGAGTTAATAAATGCCATGATTGTTGAGGCAATTTTAGAGAAGTATTCTATTTACAGCCAAAAGCAAACATTTTAATACCATATTGTTCTTTTTTACATTATTAATGCTCATTTATTAGATGATGTAATTAAACCTACCAATAGAGAAGAGAGAACACCGTGTTCTACTGTAGGAAATGACAAAGGAGGTCTGAGAAATGGAGTGAAAAGGTGGCCAAAAAAGGATGGGAAGATGGAAGGAATTCCCTTCACCAGATTGGAAGTAGAGATAAAAGTAAGCTATAGCTGGGCACGGTGGCTCACACCTGTAATCCCAGCACTTTGGGAGGCTGAGGTGAGTGGATCACTTGAGCCTGGAATTCAAGACCAGCCTGGCCAACATGGTAAAACCCCGTCTCTACTAAAAATATGAAAAATTTCACCAGCGGGGCATGGTGGCGCCTGTAATTCCAGCTACTCAGGAGGCTGAGACAGGAGAATTGCTTGAACCCGGGAGGTGGAAGTTGCAGTGAGCCAAGACTATGCTGCTGCAGTCCAGCCTGGGCAACAGAGCAAGACTCTGTCTCAAAAGAAAAAAAAAAAAGGAAAATCATAAAACATATCATTTGCCCATTTTCCATTGTTTTTCTTCAAAAATCAAAAGAGAATCACTTGACAAGTGCAAGCACAAATCTTGGTTTGGTCTCTCATATTTGTTTGGTAGTTACCTTAGACAAGTGATTTCTGCGGGCTCAGCCATGGCTAACTACAAACTAGCACTAAGGGTTTATCAGGATGATGGGTTTAATCCTGCTTTGCCACCTTTAATGGTTTGACCTAGGGCAAGTTCTTTAGCTCTCTGTGCCTCTGTTTTCTCATCCAAAATGGGGATAATAATGATACTTACAGGGTTGTGATAAGGTAAAATGAGACAGTGTGTGTGCAGAATGTCTGGCACACAGTGTTGAGTAAATGTTAGCTTTTATTGAAATTGTTATTATAGTTTTCATGCTATTTAATCCTTTTAATGCAAATATGCAAATAAATTAATATGCATACCATATTAAAGGGACCTTTAAAACAATATGAGGCCAAGCACAGTGGCTCATGCCTGTAATCCCAGCACTTTGGGAGGCCAAGGCAGGTGGATCACCTGAGGTCAGGAGTTCGAGACCAGCCAACTTGATAAAATCCTGTCTCTACTAAAAATACAAAAATTAGCTAGTGTGGTGGCATGTGCCTATAGTCCCATCTACTCGGGAGGCTGAGGCAGGAGAATGGCTTCAACCTGGGGAGGCGGAGGTTTCAGTGAGCCGAGATCTCACCACTGCACTCCAACCTGGGCGACAGAGCAAGATTCCATCTCAAAAATGAATAAATAAATAAAACAATATGAAATGAGTTTGCCAGTGACTATTTACAAAGGCAGAACTCTAAGTGCTGAAGTTTGTTGAATTGAGTGGTAGGCAAATAAAAGCCCATAGTTACAGTATTAAGTTGACCTCAAACAAACTGATTTTGTTGTCATTTGTATGTGATAACCATGATTCAAATACTGAGTCAAGAATTATATTTCATGTAAAAGGCTTTTACAGATGTTAAGATGTAGAGTCTATCTTCCAGGCTTAAAATAGCTTCTTTCGTAATTTTTTAAACATATGCATTTTCATGCAGGACAGCAGGGGGCAGCTTTGGAGGCAGCTCTATTAGCAACATTGATCAGTTAAACAGTAAGTTATGGTGAACATCTTGTACTGCACATTTTACCTTAATCAGGTGGAGTCAACAAACAAATGTGTAAGTGATATCTCTGTTTATATATTGTCAATAGTATTTATTTGCTTAATAAAGCTCCCGGTGTGGCTGATAATCGGAAACGCTGACTGAATCGGGTTTCTTTGTACAAAATACAAGACTTAATGCAATTTTATCATACCCGTGAGTCACAAAAGCCCTTTTAGGCAAATTAATGGCCACTGATGGAAATTATCAAAGAGTACCAACAAAAATGTCAATTAGTCATTTCACTAATACTCCCCTCATCTTAGCACTTGGTCCTGTATCTTGCTATATCATCACAGTTTTTACAATTCAAAATGGGGTCTGTTATTTGACATTATTTGTGTTGATTGGTGGTATATTATGACACATTTTAAAAATTGCAAAATAATAGGTTTCAGTAAATTTTAATTAGCACAAAATATAAAACACAGTGCTAGGATTTCTACTCTCCAGTAGAAAAGCAGCTTAGTCAGTTGAGAGAGTATATGTGGAAAGACAATTTAAAATACGTTTTTGTCTTTATTATGTTCTCTTAAAATATAATTTATAAATCTAATTTTCTAGTTAGCTCAGATTTGCAACTGGCAAGAGTTAGGATCTCTTTAAAATCAGGTAACAGATGTGTCTAAGTTTGACTGGAGATGATTCAGAAAGGCAAAGCTGAGCTTTTTTTAAGCTAATATTTTTTAGGTAGACATTTGGAGGGTTTTTTCCTCTCTTGAATAAAAGGTGGGGAAAAGGCTTTGATGCCTGATAAAGGTGAGAAATCTCTGAGTGGTCTTTATGATCTTGAAAGTGCTTTGCCTCTGTTAAAAAATTTAATGTGAGTTCAAATACGCATTCTTGTCAAGCCTGGAGAGCCGGTGATTAGCAACCATTACAACTCAGTGAACATTTCTATTTACACAGAGATTTTTTTTTTTTTTTCTTTTTTGAGATGGAGTCTTGCTCTGTTGCCCAGATTGGAGTGCAGTGGTGAGATCTCGGCTCACGGCAACCTCCGCCTCCCCAGTTCAAGCGATTCTACATGGAGATATTTCTATTCTTCGAATCATTCTCAGATTTTCTGTGGTCTTCATTTATATCTTAGTTTGGATTCCTCCAGAAGCTAACTGTGGGACAAAGGCTCGAGTACAAATAGTTTATTTGGGAGGCATATTAGTTTGTTCTCACACTGCTAATAAAGACATACCCAAGACTGGGTAATTTATAAAGGAAAGGAGTTTAATTGACTCACAGTTCCACATGGCTGGGGAGGCCTCACAATCATGGAGGAAGGGGAACTCCCATTGATAAAACCATTAGTGCTTGTGAGACTTACTAACCGCCACAAGAACAGTATGGGGAAAACTGCCCCCATGATTCTATTATCTCCACCTGGCCCCACCTTTGACACCTGGGGATTATTACAATTCAAGGTGAGATTTGGGTGGGGACACCACCAAACCATATCAGGAGGTGAAGGAAAACACCAGTAAGGGAGTCAGGAAATAAGCCATGAAGAAAAGGAGTTGGGTTATCCAGCAAGGTAGAAAAGTGGACCACTCTGGACTTAATCCCACTGAGGAGCTATGGGATATGGTATAGAACATGAGCCTCAGACTCATCCCACATTAGGAGCAAGGGAGCTGGAGTATATATACACTAACAAAGCCCTCCAATACCCAGCCCCTCCCCACCTCTTTGGCCCCCTCTCCTGGCCCCCCTTTCCTGAAAACATCAGCCCCAGCAACACAAGGACCTGCAATGCCTTTTTACCCCTCCCTTTACCTAGCTCATTTCACCTGGCTGACTCCTATTAATTCTTTGGTTGTCTTTGGTTGAGGGCTGCTCCTGGGGTTGTCAAAACCTTGACACTTCCAGCCTGCCAGCTCTGGGCCAAGCCCTCAAGCAGATATGACAGATTTGGCACACTGAAGTGGTAAAGCCTGAGGGTGTATGAATAGGAGGCCAAGAGCGTCTGCTATAGATTACCTCAGAGAATTTTTATAAGAAGTTAATGATTGCATATAATTTAGAATACTGCACGGCACGGAATAAGGATGCAATGTTCATTTCATTGTTTTGATAACACTCGCCTTCTTTTTTTTTTTTTTTTTTTCATGGCCAGAACCTGTGTCTACAAAAAATAAGAAAAATTAGCCTGACATGGTGGCACCAGGAGTCTCGGTTATTCAGGAGACTGATGTGGGAGGATCTCTTGAACCCAGGAATTGGAGGCTGCAGTGAGCTACGATCGTACCACTGCATTTCAGCCTAGGCTGCACTCCAGTGAGACCCTGTCTCAAAAAAATAAAACAACAAAACAAAAACTTTTCCAAGAACAGTGGGGCCTAGTAGTACTATACTATGTAGGGAAGGGAAGCTAGTCAAGTAATCCTTCAGAATTTTTTTCTTTTTAACATATCTTAGGGGATTTTCTAACCCTCTCTAGAGCTTGAAGGAACAAATTTTGATTTTATATATATATAAAAAAAAAAACAGAGGGAAAAAAACCCCTTTTTTTTTTTTTTTTTGAGACAGAATTTCACTCTTGTTGCCCAGGCTAGAGGACAATGATGCAATCTTGGCTCACCGCAACCTCTGCCTCCTGGGTTCAAGTGATTCTCCTGCCTCAGCCTCCC